TAACAAGTGTACAACATCAAATAGAAGTCAATCCTGCAATAAACCTCCAATTTATCTAATAAATCAATTGAAGATACACCGATTCAAAAGTGCACCTCGCTGCACTTATTTTCTCTCTGTGCACGCTTGCCTTATATATTTATTTTACTATGAAAATAAACTGGCAGAGCAACAGCAACAATGGCTGCGATTACAAATGGCAATTGCAATAAAAGCAGACCGACCAGCAACAACAAAAGAAATTAGCGTAATTAGCAAATTACTCGCCGCTCTCTGTTTCTGTTTCTTTTTTATTATTTTTATTTTTATTTTGTATTTTCTGCCTTTGCCTTTGTTTTTGCGGCTTGGAAATTGACGTCGTCGTCGCTGTGTTCTGTTTTCTGTTGGTTTTATTTCGCTTTTGCTCGGTCAGTTGGTCGCCTTCGTCACATTTCAGTTTTTCTTGGCCGGAAATGCTGAATTTGCACAAAAACCAGCGGAAAACTGGCATAAAAACGTTCTTATTCTCGGCTGCTTCCTCCCTTTTTCCACCCATTTACACGCGCACCCAAAATAAATATACTTAATTGACGTTTGTTTAATCGCTAAATGTTCTCGGGCTGCAGGCCGTAAAAATAATAAAAAGCGTGTGGAGGGAAAGCAACGAAAAATGAGGGAAATATTATAAAGAGCAGACGTAACACCTACGCGAAAATCGCCCAACTAAATGGAACAATAAACCGGCAGCAGAAAACAGAAAAGGGCTGACAAATTGTCTGGCGAAATGCAGCAGAGGTTGAGGTGCCTGATGACTTTTTCCTCAACTTTGGTTTGTTTTTAGTTGTCGTAATAACTCACAACTGTTTGAAAAGCTGATTATCTCGTGGGAGGAATTTCCTCAATGAAAATGTTACGAGAAATAAGTTTCGAGGTAAAGGGATAAGCAAGTGGAATAGGTCAGGATAAAGTGGGCGCTTTTGGAATTACAGAAACCACTTTTTATTAAGACTTTAACTTTCCAAAACTAATACATATTATTTCTTTGCTTACTTCAACACCTGAACGGTTATTTTGGTTTATACTTCGTGTAGAATAATTTACTATTTGTTTACGCAACTTTAAGTGGGTGATGAAATTGCAACTTCCGCACTCTCCACTTTCGCGAAATAAACACGGCAAACCTACTTAAAGTTTCAATTTATTTGGCTGGGGAAAACCCACTAATGGAATATTATTTTATGGTCGCTCGGTGAGACGCCAGAACCTTGGAGACTCCTAGGCCCGCCAATCGAGAATTATTAATAATAGCCATTAACTCAGGCATTGAACTTGATACGACTCTTGCTGATAGCTGATGGCCGATGGCTCCCCTTCCAACTACTCGCATTCACTTCCTCCAGAGCAGAGTCCAAATCGGCCTGCATTTTCGGCTTCTTATCACCGTATGTTATTTTTAAATATTCTTTGTTCCATTGGTTTCATCACCGGAATTCACTTACCTGGTCGCATAATTGATTGTTTTGCACTTGGACCGATGTACATATGGGCGAGGCCGGGAGACTTCCCCCTCTTTATTGACACTACTGATTAATGGCCATATGCCGGGCAGCTGGCGGGTATCTATCAAGTATTTCCGATGTCCGATAACACGGCGTTAACCCAAACAAATTAAACAATAATCAATGGCTTTAATTTTCGCTTTTCGAGTGGCGCAAACCACGAAATTAATAACAACCGAATACAGATATACCCGACCGCTAATCATTTCTAATCAGCGGAGGTCTTTAGCACCTTGGCAACAACTCCCACCTGGGACTTACCTGAGTTTCGATGACGCTGGCGATGGCAAAAGCAATGGTGATGACGATGGTGATGGTGATGAGGTTGCCCACCAGCTTCCTGTGAGTGAAAGATTTTCTTTTTGGCCTCCTACGAGTGGCGAGTGCTGGTGGTGGGCGTCGCTGCACCGGAGGTTCGAGATGCTAATGAGCATGACTAGACTTCTGCTGACGATGACGATGAATGGATGGCTCAGAGCGGCTGTCTTGGCTTGTTTGGTAGGTGTTGTTGGCATTGTTATTGCCGCTGAAAGCCGCGTCGCTGGGCGTTGCATGGCTCCACTTGAGGGATGGATAGTGGCATAAAGATCTAAATATAACTATGTTGTACCTTGCTAAATTTAAAAAAAAATTTTATATTTTTTTTATTTGATCCAATTCAATGGTGCTTGTCTAAAGAAAAGTTGAAAAAGATTAATCTTTTAGCTGTCCTGGGTAGTACTGTACATTTAAATGCTTCATAATCAACTTTTCAACACTGAAAGTTTCCCTTTTATCATTGTATAAAATGTATTGTATGTAATACTTATATTTCCCAACCCTGCTGCCCACCTACTCTACCAGCTTCCCCCTCCAAAATTGTTGAGCTACCAAGATCTCCTCCGGTTGTCTTCCAACTGCCATCCATACTCCTCCTCTCGAATCTTGTGGGCAGCCAGATGAGTGGGGTTATCTGGTGGTCCGCGGACGGATGGATCGTGATCATGTTCATGATGACTATATAAATGCTTCCTCAAATGTGGGGGCTTGCGGGCCGAACTCGAATCAGCGACAAGTTCTTCTTTCTCCCTCGAAGAGCATGACGTAGGCAACTTTGTTGTCGATCCATTTGAAAAGCGTAGACCGGCAGCCCGAGGGGCTGATTCGGTTGAGACTCGTTCGGTTGAGGAGAATCCAAGACCGGCAGCCGCGATTGGAAGAATCGATGTGGCTACTGTTTTTCTCATATTTTTCGAGGAGGGGAGGGGAGGGGAGGGGAAGGGAAGGCCACTCGAAGTTGCAGCTGCGCAGAGCGAAGACCCTGAAAATGTGCTTTTCGGAGTCCCCCGACGGATGTTGCGAATTTTGTCTTTGACACATATAAATGTCAGCATATCGTATATATGCGGTAATTCTCTCTACGGTCAACTAATTTAGTGTTTCCTGCTGACAACAGCACTAACAAGCTGCAAAGAAATCAGAGAATTGTGTCACTAAAATGTTTGTGCTACCCGAAAAAAAAGCTATCAGACAATCTATTTGTTTGTCTCTCTTCTCGTCGTCGTCGCTCTCTATCAAACAATTCATAAAAGGCCAAATTGTTTTTGAATCTCGGTTTGTTCGCTTTCGATTTGTTGTTTTCGTTCATTCATACAAGCAGCGCTTTTTCGAAAATAGACGACATCCGGTCTGCACGAAAAATATAAATCATATTTTTAGATAAACGCCGATACACACACACACACACAGACGAGCGATCTGCCAGCCAGAAAAAGTTGTAGAAAAAATATACAAAATCGAACAGAGCAGAAAAAAAAAACGAGCAGCGGAATGTAAAATGTTGTTTTCGTAGTCAACTTGTTTGGGTTTTTGGCGACACGAGACGGCTGCGTCGTCATCGAATTTTTTCTCGATACCCAATAAAGAATTTGTTTTTTTTTTTGACATCGAAAGAATTTTTCTATTTAGATTTAGGATTAATTCATAGAAAGTGGGTTGTATTAATTAATACTATAAATACTTTTCAAAATGTTTATTTTCCACAAACAATTCCTACCTTTTATTTCAAGGTTTTTGACTTGTTACTTCTGTTTTTTAAAAGTCATTAAAAATTTAGTATTTCGCATTAAAAAATTCGCTCATAAGAATCGGATGGCTCTGCCAATTTATCTCCTTTCGAGTCGGTTTTCTTTTTGCCACTTGCATCAACAGGCCCATCAATTTCTCCTCTCATCATTCGGTACGAATTTGGTATGGGCCGGGTTGTTTCCCCATTCCCCCGACGAACACCATATCTATCTGTACGAGTATATCATAAATATCCCCCGCCGGGATGATTTCGTTGCTCTCATAAAAGACGAAAACTGCCGGCTCGCACCGCAGAAGCAGAAGCAGAAGCGCAATGTTGAAAGAAAAAATTGTGTGGAAATGGAAATAAATTAACACATTTAATGAAAATTTTCGAAGAGAGCGCGAAAAGGCGAAGACGTCGCGGCGGAAGACGTGGAACGGGGCGTATGAGTAATCAGCGACAGGAAACGGTGACAAATGCTGCCCCCTTTCCCCTTCCCCTTCCCCTGCCGCCTTCCCCTTCGGCCAGAGGGTGTGTAAATGTGCTATGTAGCAGCTATGTGCACCGATAGCAACAGGCCAACAAAAAATTTCAATAATTTATTTGGTCTGAATGAAGTGAAATACGAACGAGGGCAGCGCCGTCAACCGCCATTGGGGCGCCCACAGGAAACGCGGCGTTGGCAACAGTTTCCTGTTTTGTTTTTGCTTTTGCTTTTGTTTTGTCGAGTGCAAACGGGTTACGACAACAAACATGTTACAATTTGGTTCAATGACTTTGTTAGGCCATCGAGATAGGAGCAGAGTGCACAGCGAGAAAATCTGGAGTTCTGGGGAATTTTAGGGATTCATTGATTTCGTTTAATTAGAAAGCTCTGTTAACGTTTAACGTTAACTAGAATACTTTATTATAAAAATTAAACTATTTTTAGTAAACATCTAAATATTTTAGGATAAATACTTACAATAGTTTTTACGAGTGCATCGAGTTTGGTGTTAAATGTTATCTAGTAAGCTCTCGGCACTCCACGGAAAGCGTAAGTAAACAGAGCAGTGTAGGATCCACCCACGAGTTTATCAGTGGAATTGAGGAAGTGGTCACCGCATGTGAAACTCGCGCCAGATGCGCTGATAAGACCCACCCACCCGCACACCACCCTCTTCCACCTTTTTTTTTGGCAAACCTTTTATTAAGCGCTTAACGTGGAGTTATTTTACGGCTCTGGCATGCCAAATGAGCTCGGTTAACTTATCAGCGATTCAGTCGATGACATGCGGAAGTCCCCAGCCCCTAAATGTCCCCGTTGGCCAACTGATTTACTAGTTGCCGCAATATCACGCATACGCCCCATAATCCACGTATGCCAAAACACTTTCACAATTTCCCTGACCATTTCTATTCTTTCTTCGCAGTTTGTGGACATCGGAATCGTGACGTCTATCGAGTCGAATCACAAGCAACTCGAATTTGCGCGCAAGGGCCAGGAGATCTGCATCAAGATCGATCCGATCCCCGGGGAGTCGCCCAAGATGTTTGGTCGCCACTTCGAGGCCGAGGACATGTTGATCAGCAAGGTAAGACCACCGACCACCTACCAAAATGATTGGCAATAAATTCATTAGTGCTCGGGAGCGGAAGAGCCAACTTGGAACTCGAGATAGACTCGAGTGCATTATTGTCGGGAAGCCAAGAACCGCAATATCATCGCTTCGAACGGGCATGTGGTTGATTTTGATGGCCGGATTAGATATCTGAAGTGGGGCAATTGTAACCTCACTTGTTTTTAGTGACTTTATTTGGGCTTGTTTTATGCAATCACTAATTGTTTTTTAATTGTCTGAAAGTAGTTACTCAGTATACCGAATTTATAGTTATAATTTATATTAACAAGAATATCTTCTATAATATTTGTCAGCAATTGAAAGTTATTTTCAACAATAATGCATTTTCTATGGTTATGAATAGGTTTCTAAAATAACGTTGCATTTTGGCCTGCTAATTTGCCAGTCATTCGGCTTAATTGATCGAGAACCAGGCTGTTATTCAGTGCGAATTCGAGTGCAAATCACTTACGTTGAAGAGCGGCGCGAATCGAACCATCGTGTCGTATCAAAGTTGTCAATTGCAACTGGATGGCCAGGGGCAAACCCACTCCACCTCCTCCTCCTCCACTATAAAGCTCCTCACCTTGTCCACTTCCTCCACTTTGGCCAGTTGGCTTATCAAATTACATGGCCAAGTTGTGTGTCAAGTGTTAGGTGGCTACAACGTCGAGTCGTATCGCATCGAATCGAATCGAATCGAATCGAATCGAATCGAGTCGAATTGAATCGCTTCGAACGACATTCGACGGATGACTTAACTGGCTTAAGTGGCGCTGAAAGGCCTTTGCAACTTCCTTTCGTTCAATCATTTGATTAACAATTACTTACCAGCTCTGACGTCAAGCGGCCTTCATGAGTGGGCGGTGGTTAAAAGGGGGGTAAACAACAAGCTGGCCAAAAACCAAAATCGATAGCTAACTTCGTTTTTGATTCATTTTTGTCCCTAATCAGCGGGTGACATCGGTGACGTCAAAACGCCAGGCGGCGCTAATTGCCCATTGAGTTGGCAGAGCGCTTTATTCAATTAATGCTGCGTAAAAATAAAGATGAATGGATGTATTTTTAGGCCTACAAGCTGAGGAAGAAGTCACTGCGCGAAAAAGTTGGACCTGCAAACTAAATAATAAAGTAGGGTCATTCCAGTACTCCTTTAATATTTTTTGAGTTCATTTTTCATTTGAGATATCAAGACAGACTTTTGCATCCTAAAAATAAATTAGGAGGTAGACATTATTAAATTTTTTATTGTAGTTAGTAAATCAATCGCTATTAAGTGCTCTCCCAATGAAATTTCAAGTTTCTGTTCTTGTCAAATTGGATTATGCTTCCAATTTAGCTCTTCAGCGCTGACCTTTTGGCGTTTTCGCAGTGCAGGCTCCATCAAGAGCTATTAGGGTGGCTGCCACCACCCAATTGACACACTCGGCGTCTATTTATAGCCCGCAGTGTCCTTGCAGGAACCTGGGAGCCGTGAAAGGGTATTATGTCATGGCTGACCTGATGCTCGGCCCTTGTGAATGCAGGGCCGCTTTTCGAGTGGAGGGAGGGGAGTGGCCAGGTCCCCTCACCCAGATATATTGCCATATCGCCATAGTTGACCCCAGTCGCCTGCTGACGTCACGTTTTACCTTCCACGGCGAATGCACTTGCACAGTTCAGCGACCTCCGAGCATCGTCACCATCGAGCTAACCCAGTTTCCTCGGATGTCGACCCAGTTTATAGTGTGCTTTTGCAACGGGTTCGGTTTTCGCCGCTGGCGGTGTTTCATTTTGTTCTCTTTTCGGATTTAATTTGTGCACTCGCCTTTTATCAGCTATGACGCACTCGGCGACCCAAAATGGCAGAGAACCCCACCCCGAGGCTCGGAACCCCCTGAAAATTGGAGCTGAGGTCGACCATCAGCGACTTTGGTTTCGGCCTTGTCGGTTCACCCGCAAAATTGGACAAGGCCTTTGGCATGGCTTAAAATAGCTGCAATTAGTCGAGATTAGGAATTCATAGGGAGCTGAATGGGCTTTTCAGTGGGAGGAGAATTCCAGTGAAACCGAATTCGATGGGGATTTAGCTTCCTTGTATTTTACTAATCTGAATTGCTCATTGAATTTCCTGATTTAATTCGATTGATCATTAAACAGAACTATAAAATCAGCAAGTCAGAATAAGCATTAATTTCGACTGCCATAGATAACCAATCAATGCGAACTTAACTTCAGGCTCCTCCGATATCCTTCAACTCTTGGCTGAGGACAAAGCCTCGCCCATTTGCCCATTTAATATTCACAGCCATAAATGGGGACTCCTCGAGAGGCTTTATGCCGCTTATCGTTTAGAGAAATCTTTTGTGCATAAATACATACGGCTCCAATAATCAAAACCATTGATCGGGCCTAATTAATATGCGATGCGCCAAAAAAAGAGAATAAAAACCCAGAGATGGGAATAAAAATAAAAATAATAATTAATCGGGGGAGCTTATGGACAAAGGACAGAGTGCTGTCTTTATCAAGGGCGTGCTGTAATCGGACGTTCGGACTTTCGGGGGGCCTGAAAGTGGAACTATTCATGAGGGTCCGCTCGCCATAAACGCGCGGCATTAAAAAACGCATTAAAAAGGCGCCATAAAAAATGGCGACACTAAAATAGCTTCGATAAAGCGTCGCCGGGGGCATAAAGTATAAAGTCGGGCTGTATGGATCGGATGCGAAAAAGATGGAGAAAAGTATTGTTCAAAATGGCTTTAATTGTTATGCGCCATATGTCGGGGTTTCTGGGGAGGAATGGGGAGAACTGGGGACACGTGCCGCCCCGTTGCTTGATTGATGGGGCAAGCAGTCGCGATCTCCCTTCGGAGTTTTGACAATTGGCACGTTCCAATTGTACATTTTCGCCGAATCCATAATGCCGATGATTTATGTGTAGCGCAGCGTGTTATTAATATGCATTTAGAGTCATGGGTGTTGGCATTTACTTCTCTACTTTGAATAAACCTTAATCTTAATTTGTATTTTGAATGTCTCCTTTTCAGATCTCTCGACAGAGCATCGATGCCTGCAAGGACTACTTCCGCGAGGACCTAATAAAGGCCGACTGGTCGCTGATGGTGGAGCTGAAGAAGCTCTTCGAGATCCTCTAAGCGGCGGACTCGCTTGCCAAACTTCGCAAACGTACAACGGACGAGGGATCTGCGCTAGAACTATACTCGTACATAATTAAATACAAACTACAGACTGTGCGCTCGTGGTGTGTCCCCTCGAGTTCTTGAGTTCTGGAGCTCGAGCAAGGACCTTTCTCTTAAGCTTAGTTTCATTTATGGTTTACAGCCGAGTCGTCGCAGTCTTCGCAGACGTCGTCGCTTGGAGAACTCTGTTATAATGGTTTTAAATCAAATTTTTGTAAAACGCTTATTGCGAACATCCATTTTTTGCCTGCGATTTTGTTAGAGCCAACTTAGAATAAAATGCAAATGTTGTACAACGGAGAGAGCGTGTGAGGCGTGTGTAAACTTTGCAGACTGCGGCTTTGGCTTTGGGGTAACTGTGTCAGCGGTGACGTCACGCCCAAAGGATATTGACCCAGTTGGCATGCGCACAGGTCCTTTTCATTCATAGCCAAGTCATTGAACGCGGCAAGGATGCCGATGAATGGGGCAGCCGAGATGCCTTTACTGTGCTATATGCTGTATGCTGTAAGCTGTGTCCTGTGGCAACTGCTGCTGCTTCTGCTTCTGCTGCTGCTGCAGCCAAAAAACTGGGTCATCCGCCGAGCGGGTTCGTTCACCCAACTGCCGCTGGAAGGACGACTGTGGCGCAGCACCAAAGTATGCGGCAAGTTACGAGCCGCAGTTTTGTGAATGACGCAAATGCTGCCGGAGCAAGTATCCTTCAAGCGGGCTGTTGTGCTGCGCTGAATGGGCTCAAGTGCCCGAGTTGCGACTGCTGAGTGCCAGGATATATACTGTGTGCTATGTGCCCGGGCCATTCGTCCTCGAGTTCTGTCAAGTGCCAGCCATTTCATGGGGCGTTGCAGCCAGATACTTTCCCAAGGAGAAACTGTCGATTAAGATTGGATAAGCGGCTGAGGCAGGCCAATTATGTCCAAGGTAAGCTGAAGTAAAGTTATTTTTAGCCCAAGAAAGATATAACAATGTATCAGGTAACCTCAAAGAAATCATTTAAATTTAAGTATTATCCGTAGTGATCCAAGTGCTTTATCAACTTTATAAATAACATTCACCTAATGGCCCCTCGAAATCAGTTTCTAGAAATCGTCAGAGCAACCGGACGCTTTGACCAAAAAAAAAGTGGGCCATAAAAAGTGCTATAAAGCTCAAAGTATATATATTCGTGGAAGTGCAGCAAAGTGGTTCGCAAAGTTCTATTTGCAAGTGCTTCGGTATCGCATTACGTTATTTCTGGCACGTAATTCCGCCTCAAACGGAGTGAGGTGCCGTAAAAATTCAAAGGAAATTATATTCTCTTCGCTAAGCCAAATGCCCATCAGGCGTGTGCCGTTCATTGAGGAAAAATAAAGATTGCACATATAAACACATATAAACATCCTGCGCTGGCTACGTGTCTCCTCGGTTCATTCATTGATTTTCTTGGCCAACTTTTGCCTTGGCCAAAACGCGCACACACATGCGCGCAGATGGAGATGGAAAATCCAAGAATGACATTCCCCGTCCATCGCCGCTTACTGGGCTGGAAAATCCATCCCCCGCCGTAATGGATGCCGACACAAATCCTCCGACAGTCCGGAGAGTGCGAGAGCGAGCAAGGATTTTCATTCACAAGGTGAACGAGTGGCGCGGATGGCGTTCAGCATCCACAGAAGGGCTGTGGAACTAGGGCAACATTCTCTGCGGCTGTGGTAGGTAAGTTTCTGCCCCACAGCCTCCCCACTCCTCCCTTCATCCCCCATTCTGCATCCCGCATCCTTCGTCCTTTGGCGGTGTTTGTTGTGTGGGTGGCATTGGGTTCATTGAGGAAAACGAACCGCCTGGCGAAGGACTTGGAAGGCCACTTGGCTGTTGGTAAAGTGAATGAAGAATGAAGAGGTGAAATAAAAGTCATAGGGAATTCTAAACAGATGTATTTCAACTTTTCAGCTATTCCAGTTCATTATTTATTTATTTACTAGTATCAATAATAAGTTTAGAATATTTTAACATTTTTTAAACAATTTTAAAGGTAGGATAGACATTTTCAAAAGCTTTATCTTGGCATGCAATTTGTTTTACCCAAAGTTGGATTATTTTAGCTGTCACCCCTTTATACCGCTTACGTTTAAAAATAATCGGAAATGGCCAATCCGCTCGACCGCTTTGGTTCTAAGGAAAAAATCTATTTGCTTCCGGAAATTCGAAATTAAAACTTCCAATAATTGGCAGAACCCATCAATCGTCGGGCGGAAGCGGGATTGGGAACAGATCTGCTTAGGCGAAAATAGCAGCGACGTCAATTGCAGACGTTTTTCCAAATAAATATTTGCACGTGCGTTGCCCTGCCACTTGTGCTGTGTATTTTCCGTTTTCTTTTTTCTCTTTTTTTCATTTTTGATTTTTTTTTGGGCTGGCTGTCCGAAATTGCCCCGAGTTCATGTTTATACATTTCACCTCGAGGCCGATGTGTTACCTCTGCCACTGCGGCGATAATCTAGGACACTTGTGACGTCAGGCGGTAAATCTGATGGTCGGGGGCAGAACATATATTCATTTATTGCGGATTGAATGCACGGAAAGCCATCAAAGCCAAACGCAGACAGCAACTCGGCCAACTTTCGTACATCTCTCTCATTGAGCGGTTTCGTTCAATGAAATGCCACAATGAAATTTCATTTATTTATATTCTGTCCGCTCGCATTGATACGTATTTATATTTTTGTATGTTTGCCCAAATATATGTTTTCTGTCTCTATCGAATGGCAGACCACTTTTTGTTTGCCAGTTTGATCTGATCAGATGATTCATTTTTTGTTGGTATTTCAATTCCCTGGGAGAAGTCCAGTTTCGGATGGAACTCCATTGGGAATACTCCTATATTGAAAGGTGGTTGGGAAATAAGGATTGCTTTGTTTGTCATTAAAAATGTATACATAATTTTAAAGGATTTTACTTTTATTTTAAATTTTTTGGTTAACATATTTTCCTCAAATTCGTATAGGCGACATTTTAATTAGACATTTTAAGGTGAGGATGTAAAACATTAAAATTAAAGTTTTTTTCTCGTAGCTGCTACTTTTGTTTGAAACATTTTAACTTTCCACAGGTTCCCCTGTTGGATCGGAGCTTTTTTGGCTATTCATTCTTAAATACACATGTGCAAGTTTTTATATAGATGTTCGATGAGTCCCGTCCAAATGTGGAGCTGGCAAAGTGGCTGCTCTCCGCCGAATTTGGGGCCGCGTTCGACCGGATGTCGTTGAAAATAATATTGAAATCTTTATTGTTCTCACTGATTAATTTATGGGCCACTAAACGAAATGAGTTTCTGGGCGAGCGAGCTGTTCGATTTCGGTTTTGGGAAGGGGTGAGGAGTGCCAATTTCAAATTTGTCCCGCCGTCTGGGGCAGGCAGGGCAACCCTGGCCGAACAGCTGATGGCGGACGGCGGTGACCTTGGGGCTCGACGGGGTAATTACAACAGCAACCCCCAGTGAGAATCGACTGGCAATGCCAATGTCGAGGCGACGCCTACCGAAGGCCGTTGCCAAGGCGACCGAGTGGGCCAGGACCCAGCTCATTGGGCCAGGAAATGCAGGCGAGAGCGAGTGGGCGGCCGTCGGACGCGGCGGTGCATTCAAAATGGCCGTCAAACTGATGACCTTGAGCGGCGAGCGCCCATTGGCCGTGAAGTGAACGGGGGGTGGTGGGCGGCGGCGGCATGCAAATGGACGGAGCTGGGAGCTGGGAGCCAGGAGCTCTGGGAACAGGAGCAGCCAGCAGCCAGGAGCCAGCCAGCCAGCCAGGATTAGTCCTGCAGCAGGAGCCCGAGCTGCAACGAGGCCCGAACGAAGCGCACGAAGCCCACGCAGCAGCCGCTCGGCACTCGGCTCCGGGGGCCTTCGGCTGACGAATGGGGATTCCCCTCCGGAGACGAGATCCTGTCGGCCGTCTTCGGCATCGGAGGATGCAGCACCGATGCAAAAGTCGTGCAACATGGGCTCAGTCACTGGACGAGAGTCAGGCTGCATTCAACGTGCAATCTCCGAGAAATTCCACATTCCAAACAGAACTGTCCACCAAGTATATACAGCCGATACATATAGTTGAATATTCCAGGCAAAGACACAACGCAATTAGCGATTAATATATGCCGCTCACAGGGCGTATGCGTAATTTAGTGCACAATAGTGAAAGTGTTGTTTTGAATAACTGAATAACTAACAGTGCTTAGTGGTTAAGTAACCTATTCGAATATCCAAACCGAACATAGGTTCAGCCATCGACACTTTATTAGGCCTTAATCGTGCCATTAAACAATTAACCAAGGCAGCTCATCAAGTACAGTTGCCACCAAAAGGCAAAACAACTCAATCAACCCCAAAACCCAAACCAAACCCAACCAAACCAAACCAAACCAAAACGAACCAAAGCGAACAGTGCCGACACAAACAAACTCTAATCAAATTATCTGCATTATCTGCAATCGAAAAGAGCGAGTCGAGAAAAACTTTTAACCAGAACTCATCCGTCAACGAAGTTCCTTCCATCGGTGAGTAGCCTCCTTGTTACCTGTCCATCTTCATCAATCCCCACTCTCCGGTGCACGGAACACAGTCGAATAACAGCCAAGTGTCCTAAGTCCTTTGAATTGCCAATTGCAACTTTCAATCTTCACTGTTTGTTTCGCTCTCGAGTGCCAAAAGTCACCTAAAGGTTAAGTGGCCAGTGCTCATCCAGTAGAAAGCCATTAATATATTTAAAACTTACAAATTGCAACCAATTGTTTATACCATAACTCTGGTTGCAATTGATAACAATTTATTTAATTTATTTATTTAATAATAATAATTTCAGAGGAAAAGCAATTATTTCTGTAATTATTTATTTGCGTATGGAATAAATATTTTGAAATGTATACCTCGAGCTCTAAACAAAGTTATCCATCAATTGTATCAGCTTTAAGCAAATAAAAAGAAACCGAAGATGCTAAGCTTATCGAAAATCTTCTACCTATTTATACCTTTATATCTTTTTTTGAATGTTTACTTCAAAAATAATTTAATTTTATCAGTAAGCCATAGCTTATGTTTATGGTAAGTTTAAAGTACAACATAAACAGATTTCGTTTTTGTTATGAAATTAAAAACAAACTCTTTAATAAAAAATATAGCGTTTTATAAATTATTTGGAGTCATAAATACGAATAAATAGGAAAGGTTCGTTTTCTAAAATATTTGTTTAAAATACGATAGCAACACTTATGAAAGTACTCTTTTGACCTTTTAAAACCATTTTGTAGAACCTTTTTATTATATT